GTTTAACAATTTGCCTGCTAGATGCATTAACAAGTTAAGAAAGTTAGCGTTCTTATTTGCCTCTAACTTCTCCATGAACATACTGGCCAAGTAAACCAGCACGAACTTCGGTGTAGTTGTTCAAGGAGATAGAGAGGGTTAAGGTCCTGTGTTCGATGGTTCAACTTTGAAAAAATTCAGAATCTAGGATTTTCAACAGAGGTTGCTTACACATACGTTGTGAAAGGTGTAAACGATGGGAAGGCTTTCAAGTTTGACCTCATTTGGAAAAGGAAATTCACCCTCTCAGAAGCCATAGGGAGGCTGTAGCTTATATTCAGGCGGTACAGTTATGCTTTACTAAGAAATAAATAGATCAAAAGCAATTCGAAAAGTTAGAGAGAGTCAGCACGAACAGCCGGCTCATAAGAATGAAGAGAGTAAAATGAGAAAAGATGTCTGGGCGGTTGATGAGTCCATTCAGCCGTCCAAGAAAAAGAAAAAAGAATTTAAATCGTACGTTCCAAAGTACGAGTTTAATAAGGACTACTACTCCATCCTCATGGAGATAAAAAAACAAAAACAAAAACGAGTGCATTTTGACAAGGCCCAAGCAATGAAAGGTTTGGCCAAGTACCGTGGCAAGAACAAAACCTTTCATTTCTATAAGGATGTGGGTCATGATACCAGCGACTGCTACAGCTTGAAGAGGGTGTTGGATAAATTGGCTGAAAAAGTGTTGATGAAATCATACATCCTACAGTGAAAAGTGACTCCAAGGATGACGCCTAAGGAGCCGTCCAAGAAGAATGATGATAGCTCAGACACTAATCTTGAGTTCGTTGTTGTCATCGCAAGTGGATATGCCTTAGGCGGTCCAACCATTCAGGGGACGAAAGATCATGCTAAGAAACCGTGTTTGTTGGTGGAGGATGATGTGTCCACCATCGAACCATTTCCAGACGTGGTCATTAATGAGAAGTATCGAGGAAAATTCGACTGCCGCATGATGACCCTATATATGGTCATTGGATGCAAGATTGTCAACCTAAGGGTCGGACAGATTTTGGTGGACACAGGTAGCTCTTTTGATAACATCAGTTGGGCATGCCTGGAAAACTAAAGTATGATCAGAGCAGCTTGCATGAAGTCTCCCACCCCTTAGTCAGTTTTGGGGGTGGGGTGATACACCTGATCGATAGAATTCACCTGCCAGTAAGATTGGGAGATAAGGAAAAGGGACGAACTATGGTCATCCGGTTCTTGGTAGTTCAGTAGCTATCGGCCTACAATCTTATCTTTAGCCGGCCGACTCACAATGCAGCCAAGGTTGTTATCATTCCCTCCCTTATGCTCATGAAGTTTGAGCGTGATGATGGCAAGGTCGGTTGTCTTTATGGAGATTTGAGAGTGGCAAGAGATTGCTACCTCACCAACGTTAAGCCTACTACAGCGGTAAAGATCCTAAACCGATTGATATTGAAGATGAGCAAAGGCCAACCAGTTGGTGGCCGTCAAGAAAGAAAAGCAATAGCAATTACTGACTAGAGAACAGTCAGACTAACTCCATCCCTAGTTGGTTGGTGAACACATTGATATTGTTATGCACGAAACACGTCCATACCAAACGGTTAAGGTGGGGACGGTTGCATTTACTACATTGGGGGCAGACTTGTAGAATTTGTTAAGGGAATTCAAGGAAATCTTTGCCTTTTAGGTGGAAGAAATGTTGGGCATAAGTCTGAACCTTACTATACACAAACTCGCTGTTGATCCAAACAAAAAGTGTGTTAGGCAAAAGAAAAGGAATCACGGTGGGGAAAGAAGTCAAGCGGCAGCCGCCAAAGTTAAGAAGTTGCTGGACTCTGGGTTCATTTGGCGGTGCTTTTACCCAGATTGGGTTACCAATGTGGTGTTGGTCAAAAAGTCGAATGGTACCTGGCGCATGTGTGTTGATTACACGGATTTGAACATGGCATGTTTGAAGGACAATTACTTGCTTCCAAAGATCAACATCTAGGTTGATTCTACAGCCATACATGTCATGATGAGTTTTATGGATGCCTATTCAAGCTTTCACCATACCCCATTGGAAGAAGGATTAGGAAAAGACAACATTCGTCACTGATTAAGGGTTATTCTACTATACGGTGATGCCGTTTGGTTTGAAGAATGCACCTGCAACATTCTAACGCATCATAGATGCGATCTTTGCCAACTAGATCGACAAGAATGTTGAGGCAAATATTGATGATATGATTGTAAAATCCTAACTACAATCACTTTGTTGAACTCGAGAATCATTCACCACACTTTTTTGGTTAACCCCAAAAAGTGTGTCTTTAAAGTTGAGTTTGGGAAGTTTCTTGGTTTTCTGATTGATCAAAGAGGGATAGAGACAAACCCTAAGAAGGTGCAGGCGGTCATTGACATGAAGTTACCTTGAGCCGTCAAAGATGTATATAAGCTAACAGGTTGTTTGTCGACTCTAAGAAGATTCTTTGGCCACTCAGGCGACAAATGCCTCTATTTTTTTCAAGCTATTCAAAAGAAAGTTATATGTAAATGGGGAGATAATAAGGCTGAGGCGGCATTTCAGAATGTAAAACAACATTTGCAATCTTTACGAAGGCTTGTAAGCCCCTTGTCAAAAGAGAAGCTCTACATGTATTTAGCCGCCTCAAATCATGCTCTCAGTGCCATTCTCCTTGTTGAGAGAGACGACAATCAGCTGCCAGTCTACTTTGTAAGCCGTATTCTTAGAATTGTAGAGGTTTAGTATTTTGTTGTTTAGAAATTTGGTCTCGCGCTGTTTAAGGTGGTCAAGAAGCTCAAACCCTACTTCCTAGCACATCTAGTGGTGGTCTATACCAACCAGCCCTTCAAGCGGCCAATGACAACCTTAGAATTATGCATATGGTCGTATGATCAAATGGGCCATTTAAATTCAAACTCTGGAAATCTCCTTCAAACCAAGAAATGCGGTGAAAGGTCAGACATTTGCTGACTTTATCGTTGAAATGACACGGTCGGCAGAGCCGGCAAATCAAGAGCATGTTTAGAAGGTGTTTGTAGACGAGAACTCTACCATGAACAAATGTGGTGAATCTATAATGTGTATGTCTCCTGATAGGGATAAAAATGAGTATTGCACTACGATATAAGTTCCAAGCTTCAAATTAAGAAACTGAATTTAAAGCCCTATCGGCCGGCATCCGCATGTGTAAGGCGACCGGGGCAAGAAAAGTTGATGCCTACTCTGACTCACATTTAGTTGGTTGTTAGCCAATACTATGATGGCTATGATGCCTACAGAGGCTAGGACGCTTGACGAGTTTCACCTAAGTCAAGTGCCCCAGTCTGAGAACAATTAGGCAGATGCTTTATCAATATTAGCATCCTTGGCATTTTGTGATAACCCACGGTCGGTCTTTTGGGAGGTCATGGAAAAAAGAAGTATTGAAAGAACCCATAAGTGTGCTCGACTGAAGCTTAACCTGGATGGACGACATCTGGGCTTATGTGACAGAAAACACTCTAGCTGGTACTTATCCAAAAATGGTTTCCATAATGAAAAAGCGAGCAGCCGGGTTTATCATTCACAAAGGAGATTTGCTTAAGCCAAGTTTTTGCATGCCCTACTTGAAATGCATTACCCTAGAAAGAGGGCATGAAATCCTAGACTCACATATAGGTGGGAGCACTAGCAGGGAAAGCCGCTTGGAAAGGCTATTTTTGGCCGACTATGAAAGTAAACGCTATGAAAATGGTAAAAAAGTGTGACAAATGTCAGCGGTTTAGCAAACACACACACCATCCAGCAACTGATTTGGTGACAATTCATAGTCCAGTAATTTAACATTCGCCAAATGTGGCATGGATATCTTGTGACCATATACACCTACGTCAGGCCAGAGGCGGTACATTCCAGTAGTCGTTGATTACTTCACCAAATGCGTTGAAGTTGAGGCCGTTAAAGGCGTAAAAACCAAAGATAACTCCCTTTAAAGCCAAGATAACTCCACCCCACCACCCTATTTTTATTCAAATATATTCCAAATATCCCAATTAATTAAATTTAAAATAAAAAAAAAATCCCCCAAAATTCATAACTCCCATTCACTCCTCCGAAATTCTACTCACTCACTTTCTCTCTCCTCAAAATCAAAGTCATTCATTAATAGCGATTTCGGACGCCGTTGTGCGAAATCTAATGACAATATACTTAGCTTTAATAGCAGCGATAGGCATACGGCCTTACCATGGGTCAGAGCATCAGTGGAATGTTTGTACTGGCGGTGTCGACGGCAGTGGTCGAGTTGGTGTTAGTGACGATGCTCACGAAAAGCAGTTTCATGAGTCGATGTTAATGGTGTTACGGTTGTTATGGTTGCTACGAAGGAGTAGCAGCGGCGGTGGTGATAATGTGGTTAGAATATGGGAGGGAATCGGGGAAGACGGTGGCTGGGTCCGTCTGGGTCTGGCAAGTAGTTGGGTCCAGCTATTCCGACAAGTGGTTGGGTCTGGCTGGTCAGCGGGCGGCTGCTCCGACGAGGGATTTCCTCCGGTAGTGGTTATTACATTTTTTTGCTTGTTAATTCCTTTATTTTTTTAAAAAAATATATGTATCAAAAACCCATTTAGAAGGTTACACATGTCATATAACCTTCTAAATTAGGTTACCAATTAATATGCAAACAGGTAAAAGGTTCTTAATTTTCATTCAATAAAAATTAGTAACATTAAAGAATCAATATAATATGAAATCAGTAAAATTAATTTTTGTTAGTAATAAATTTGTAAAATTTATTTTAATAAAATTAATTTCAAATCAGCGAAAATAAGGTGAAGTGAATGAGGCCTTACAGTGATTCAAGTTGCATAAGGTAAAGAATTATTCAACGCTAAAATTTGAATTTCGTCCAATGTGCTTTTCCCAAAATATTCTAATTTCCTAGTTGTGATACAAACCAGGTTATCCGAAGTATCCCATTAACATCAAAAAATGGTGAATGAAAAAAATTAGTTAATTCATTAACACAAGAAGTAACTATAAACATTTACAACCTTTAATATATATTTTCATACAACCGGTACATATATACAAGTAGTAAATACGAGCTAACATTAGATGTTATTACTAACCTCTTTGACTCCTAATTAAGTCATAAATACAACTCATCATATTTCAGTTCTTGAACGCCCTAGTCGAAGTTCAAGGTCCACACCAGAATCATCCCTGCTAACCCTTGAGTTACTACTTCCTTGCTTGCCCGACGACGAATCAACAAACAAGGCAAGCGCCTTCTTTTTCCCAACCTCAATATCATCTCTTGTTTCATTATTTACGGAAAGTTGACTCCTTGTTTTAGTAATGGATGTATCAGATTGCATAGAAGCACGGTCATTACACGACGAATTATCATGAATAGATGATTGTCGAAGCTTGGCTCGGTCTCTTCGATGGATGTTCATATGTCCACCAAGTGCTTGTGCATTAGAAAACCCTTTCTTACAGAAGTTACATGTGTAAGATCTAACGTAATACTCATCACTGAATGAAATTTGCTCGTGATCTGTTGTGGTTGTGCTCGGAGTTGAATCGTTCGATGCTTGATCGTCGAATTTACCAAACTTTCCTTCTTGTTGAGGGCTTATCTCCATTTTTTAGACAGGAAAACGAACTCATTGTGACAGAATTAACATATAGAAAAGATATATGTAAATATGAATTAGTGAACGACTTGTTCAACTAAAATTGGTCGGTTTATGGCCGGTGGCGAAGCTAGCAACGACGTAAGTGACAAGGTATAGGAGTAGATTGATTGTTTCTAATGGATAATTACACTTAAGATTATTTATCAGACATTGTAAGATAGATAAACTAGAAGAATTTTTCTAATAAAAACATGATGACGAATTGTGGTGGCATATTTTATTAATTCAATAGTTTGTAAGATTAACATTAGTGGAGAGACTTATACAACATTACACGTTTATTTATGCGTACTTAGTACTAACTCTAAAATGTCCATTTATACTAACTAAAAAGGTCAACTATCATGCAAAAATAATAATAGAAAGAAAAAATACAGTATTTAGTTGAATATGTCCATTGCTTCTCTAATTTGCTTCAACAGGCGTGCTCCTGTCTATTAACTAGGAAACCTCAGTTAATTAATTTGATAAACAAAATTTGTTTATCAAATGGCAAAATGGTAAATAAAACAACATAAATGTCCAGTCAACATGTCATTTTCGTAAATATATCACTAACAGTGGGACCCATATTTAATAAAAGTTGTCTATTTATTTACAATTTTGTCATTTGATAAACAAATTATGGTTATCATATTGATAAACTAGTGTTTTCTGGTGTTTAACAAGTGTGAGGTCTTTTTCAGTTTTTAAAGATTTTTACTTTTTTTTTTAATTTTTATTATTTTTTTCACAAGTTTATTGAGAAAAATCAAGTGATCAACCTCTCCAATTTAAATAAATTTGTAATGCATGGATTAGTATAATCATTGAATCAAATTCACCTCGCCTTTCATTAGAAACCGTTCAAACTTGGAAGGGGTTTTCTAGTTTCCTCTAGGGTTTCTTCATTGAGGGTTTTTTTTCCGTTGCAAGATTTTTTCTTTATTTTTTGAAATTTTTTAAATTGGCACTCGAAAAACACACCTATTTTGAAATTACCACCCGTTATATTTTTTTTTATTTTATTACCCATTAAATTAAAAAAAAACATTTAAATTCCCACCTTTTTCGAAATTCCAGTGGTTTTTCCTTCGGTGGGCCCCATCTAACTTATTTACCTCCTTTTTTTTTCTTCTTTTCTCTCAGTTTCACCCTCTCACTATTCTATTGAACTCAACTAAACCCTTCCCTCATTCAATTTGTTTATTAAATCCCCAAATTTCTCCCAATTATAATGCGCGAATAACCCTAATTCATGAAATCCCCAAATTTATGGGAAGAACCCTAATTTATGAAATCCCCAAATTTTCCCCAATTATAATGTGCGAAGAATCCTAATTTTAATAGTGAATATATCATACCAGATTGCAAATTGAGTTTCTGTAGTTGGGGGTGGGGGATTCGTCTTTCAAATATAACTTAGCAAAATGTGTGAGAATTTGGTAGAAATTGGAGAAAAAAACAGCTAATTCAGTTTGGGGAGCTATTTTATACAAAGAATCGGGGGAAAAAAATAATGAGGCTCAATATAGTCGTTAATAGCCATTATATGGGTCCCAGTGACGAAAAGTTCACCTGATTTTTGAAAAAGGTAGGAATCTGAATACTTTTTTAATTTAATGGGTGGTAAAATAAAATAAAAAATTTAATGGGTGGTAATTTCAAAAAAGGTGTGTTCTTTTTTTTTTTTAATTCATAATTTCTGCAAGTATTTAGAGAACAACATAAGTAATTTCATCCTAAAGACTTTGCATCCGTAGATTTCAGTTCGAATTAATGCTAACTCAAAAATTGTATTGCTTCAGATAAAATTATTCTTAAGACGATTGTCTTGTGTTAGACTTTCAGATTAATTAGGAATTGTTTGTAAGTGCTATATGACTAACTTTTATTAATGAAATCATTTTTCTTTCTCTATATATGACAAAAAAAAAAAAAGAATTATTGCATCTAATAATTTGGAGGTAGATTGAGTAGGGACCCAATTTAGCTCAATTCACATTTCCAACTATCTCACCTTTCTCTGATATCACAAACCAATGAAGCATACAAAATTTTTTGGCTTTCAACATGGTAGTTAGAATTGTTGTTTACACTCAAAAGTAAATTATTAATACATAATATAAATTGAATAACCTCAAAAATAAATAAAAAAACTAAAAAGTACTAGAAATATCACTACAGTAATACAAAACAGCTCGAAAAGAAATCAAAAGTAGATAAAAATTTGGAAAACTTGACTTTTACTACCACTAAAAACACCACTTTGACTTTTGCAACTTGAAGGCGTCATTCGAAGCGCGCCTACTTAAGCATGTGGTGAATATGCTTGGCAATAATAGCAAGTGGGAATTGACATTATACGATTAGGGACAAGGAAAGTAGGGAGCCACCGACAAGTATTTAAGGAACTTGTAAGCCGTTTACGGATCATTGTAAGGCAACCACGATTAAGGGACAATGATAGGCAACAATGATGGACCCGTGAAGGTTACACCCCATTCATAATCCATGAGGTTACTAACTCCATATGGTTAGAAACAACAAAAAGAGGATTGGGGATGATGGTATGAAGTGAATCATGGAGTCACATTTGCCCCTATTGCTCTCTACTCGATTCTTATAGTGAAAAGTATTCCTGCGATCTCAAAGGCACACAAACAAAGATTTAATTTGCTCCAAAATAAAATTAGGCTAAATTATTTGAATATTAATGCAACACATAATTCTAAATATCGTGATCACTTGATTAAACAATAAGATTAAAAAGGAACCTAAATCGATCGTCCAAATTATCTTATTAGGCGTTATATTCAATTACATATTCCTATTAAACATGCAATATGGTGATCAATAAACATAATAAAATTATCATTAACATTGGAAGCAATTTTGCCGTAATAACGTTAGAAAAATCGAATAATTATAATAATCCTAATCATGATACTAGCAATATAAAATAAAAGTAAGTAATTGAGTAAATAAATTACTTACGTTTCACGCTTCTTCAAATTGCTACATCATGAATTTAACGTTAGTAATTTCAAAAAATAATAAATCAAATTGAACTTAAATTAAATTAAAATAAAGTTGATTTGGTCCAAATCCTCAATCAGTTCTACCTTTCACGCCTTGGTTTAAGTATGGAATTTTGGATGTTGTATGGACTTCTTGGAGTGCTTAGAGAAGGAATGGTGTAATTAGGAGAATAGGTTTAAGACATAGAATGTGAGCGAGGGAGATGAGAATGTGTGTTGGTGCATAAGAGAGCACGAGAGCGTTATTTGGTGCCCCAAAACTGAGAAATCAACTTTGTATTTATAGAGAAAATATGAGGGGTTAGGTATGGAACCCTAGAAATAAAGTGCCACGAAGAAATTAAATAAACCCTAGAAATTGTCGTGTCACGGTGCAAATTGTCGTGGCAAGGTATTTTTATCGTGGCGCGGTAATTTCCTGTTTTTACGCGTTTATAAAACTTTGATAACTTTTGATCCATAACTCGGAATAAGGCTTATAATAAATAGTTGGAAATATCTTCAAGTATAATTTCCAACCCAATTATCCTAAGGTCAAAATAATTTGTATATTTTATGATATAGCCATATTAGTGCAAGGGTGTCGGTTTCGGGTCGAGATTTAGTGTTTTGCTCAAATCTTCTTCTTTTAAAATCAGAATTGGCTTATGATATACCATTGGAAAACTTATTTCAAGGCCTATCCAAACAACTAATATTTAAATCAAAATTATAGGGCCAAAAAATCAGTTAAGCTCGAATTTGTGACGTGGACATGAAAATAGGAAAATAAGTTATGGTTTGGGAAAATGTGCTAAGAATTGGGTTCGTTTATGAAATGTATTGGATTGAATATGGATTTAAGAACTACAAAGATTAAATACTCAACCCAACCAGTAATGACACTGAAAGGTTGTTCATCATCGAGTTTTGTTTAATTTGGGAAGACATTTTTAGGTGTCTACAGAAGCCCCCACTTTGATTGAGTTTGTAGAAATGTAAGTTTCGAAAACGATAGTCAAAGTAGTCAATAGGGAAAGAGAATGATTTAAGACGTTATGTGATCCTAAATCACTCTGTGTATGTCGATACCTGCAGAAATGTGTTAGTTCCACAGATAAAAGAGTAAGGGATAGAATTCGTATCTGGCACTAGTGGGACAGCGGCATATACGTTTTGTAGCTTTCTGCACCTTAAGAAATCTACTGGATGATAGTCTTCCGCACCTCGAGAATTTTATCATGAACCACTACGCCTCAAGTGATCCACTATATTAAAGGTGACAAGCTTCTGCGCCTTGGGAAACATGTTGTAGACTCCTACGCCTCAAGCAGCCTACTGAATGATGATCTTCCGCGCCTCGGGATGATCAGTGAGTATTTGATGAATGATGATGGTTTGCCTATCCGCATATGTGGGCTGTAAATATTGGTGGTTTGATTGTCCCCGAATGTGGGTTGTAGATGTTGATAGTTCGATTATCCCCGAACGTGGGTTGTAGATGGTTCGACTATCCCTGAACATGGGTTGTAGATGGTTCGATTGTCCCTGAACGTGGATAGTTGACGTTAATGGTTCGACTGTCCCCGAACGTGGGTTGTACATGGTTCGATTGTCCCCGACCGTGGGTTGTAGATGTTAATGGTTCGATTATCCCCGAACGTGGGCTTTAGATGGTTCGATTATCCCTGAACGTGGGATGTTGATGGTTTGATTGTCCCTAAACGTGGCTGTAGATGGTTCCATTGTCCACGAACGGTGAGCTGTTGATGTTGATGTTCGATTATCACCGAACGTGGGTTGTAGATGTTGATGTTCGATTATCCTCGAACGTGGGCTGTAGGTGTTGATGGTTCGATTATCCCGAACGTGGGGTGTAAATGGTTCGATTATCCCCAAACATGGGTTGTAGATGGTTTGATTGTCCCCGAACATGGGTTGTTGTCGTTGATGGTTCGATTGTCTCCGAACGTGGGCTGTAGATGGTTCGATTATCCCCGAACGTGGGCTGTAGATGCTTTGATTGTCCCCGAACGTGGGCTGTAGATGCTTTG